CCTCCCACCCAAGCGGGCAAGTCAGGGAGACCGTCCTCACCAGGAGCACAACAGGGGAGAGACCCAGCTCTGTGTCAGCACCAAGTTGACCCCCTGAGCGAGTCTCATCCCTCCCAAGTTAGCTTATGGGCACTACAAGATTTTYCCTTCCCTAAAAAAAAGGAGGGAGACATACACGGATATGATGATTCCTCCATCCACCAAAGGCACGCAACCTCATCCCATCATACAGGTATCTGAACTGTTTTTATAATCTGGTACTCCTGTACATGCATGTGGATCCAGAAATCTATAGCAGTAGGAATAGCAGTAGGACCATGGAGGGGAAAGAAAGAGGGGGAAGAAATGCACCAAATCTATTGAAGTTGCATCTAGATCTCTGCAAGGGTCTTTCGAAGGCAGGATAATTCAGCTTTAGTCACCTTGCAAGCCCAGTGCACAGTGATTAAAAGACAAGTAAAACAGGATCCTGGCCCAAGAAGCTTTCAAAGCTCTCAAAACACCAAGTTTGTCCTCTGTAAGGATAATGTCCAATATGTTCCAAATAAAAAGCCAACGATGTGACAGCCCCAGAACTGCCATGCTATGAATATGTTTTGCAGCACATAATTTGTAGGATATTTTCAGACTTTATCTGCATTCACATAGCCCCTCTCTGTACTCCTAGAGAGATAGTAACACGGAGAAGGATGGTTTTTTGGAGGCAGCACGAAAGTGATGAAGCCCTTCAGTAACRCCCTGCAATAAAATGCAAATTTTAGGAGTTAAAAAAGATTTCCATGAATGCCACACTAGCAGTTGGACCATCACTTAACACAGTATTGGAAAAAACCCTGGTTTCTGGCTGTTACTAACAAGTGCTCCTTCACTCAGAAGACAGGCCAGATCCTCCACGACTTTTAGAAGCCAGTGCTATGTTTATGATAAGGATGGTGATGGCAGGAAAAAAACAGTGAAGGTGGCCCCAGCTGAGCTTCATTTGTTCCTGTTATCTCCATTTTCATTCCTTTGTGAGGCTCCTCACCACCAACACCATGACTTGTCCTTAGTTTATATTAAAACACTACTAATAACATGTGTCAATGCTGTGACTACTCAGATGTGTCCAGATCTGCCTAGCAGCAAAATAATCTGGTTATCTCATCAGCTGAGAACAGTGACTTCTGGGACAACATCTGGGCACTCACACAGTCTYCTGGTATTTCATTTTTAATAGCAACTTCGGCTAAAGCAGTAAATTGTCCAAATATGTTCTTCTCTTAAAGAAAGAAGAGCCCTGCAAAACTGGAAGACTATTTAATATAGCCATATTGAAAATAACTCAGTAAATGCAATGCTTTTAATACATGCTGTCACTATCATGTCCATGTACTTTAAATGTTTTTAATAGAGTCTGCTACCTCAGCTAAAAATAGCTGAGCTACTTCCTTCTACACTGCCCTACCGACACTACTACTGTTGACTTTATAGTCAACAGCTTCTTTAAAAAAATGAAAAGTTTTTAAATTTGTGAATACTACATAAAATCATAGACAGATGAAGACCTTGGCTCTGCACATGCTTGWAAAGAACAGTTATTTTTGAAGCAACAGTGAGTGTTTAGGAGGTCTTCCCTAYAATCTGGGAAAAACTTAATTAAGGCACAACTTAGGGTAGCATTAAGAAAACTCCTAAAACCCCAAAAGTTTTTCACCTCCCCTCCAACTCCCAAGGCATCAAGAAAGCCAACTGCACAGAACAACCACAGCGATCAAAATGGGAGTTGCCCAAATGAATCACGGAGCTGTCACAATTTCTGCGCTTGGGTTAAGTAACTGTCAGTGTAATTCACAGAATCTAATCCAGTTGTACTAGAATACTTTTTAATACCACAACCAGTCACCTTCTGATCAGTTGAAGCACATGTTAAAGTTTTCAGATGCGTTTTGTCTGAACTATTGCCTAGAAGGGTGCAAAAGGTCTCCCTAATCCATTGATAACGAAGGAAGAAGTTCCCCTGGAACTGCAAATCCATCAGGGACTATAAACTCCTATGAACACATGGCAGGAGAAACCAGCCACCCATCCATCTGACTCATATCTGCAAGAAGCAACCACTAAATCCAAATGCTATTGTAATTACTCTTCTGACCATGATTTCTGACCAGAAAACCCCGCAACACAGGCTGGACCAGTTATTTACAAAGAAGGACTCTCTAGAGAGGAAATACCTAAATACCAGGAATAAATACCAGGTCAAGACCACACGCTGATTCACTGAAGTTTCCTGTTCAGCAAGCAGCCATCAGGAGCACAGGAACGCACAGAAGCGTTCTCCCAGGAATGCTTCTTCCTGGGAGAAAGCAAATGTTTTAACCTGAGACTCCTTTGGATTTTTTTTCCCTAAAAACTAGCACAATGCATTCCTTTTTGGAACTAGTGACAGCTTAGAAGAGACTGCAAGTCAACTCGTGATCAGACAAAACATCTGTCTTTCTCCTGCGCTTGCCACAATCTGCCCTGGCCAAAGTTCTTACAGCACTTTCTAGAGAATGGTGCTGTAGCCAGTGCTCCTTCTCCCGCTCAATCCTCCTCTGCAGTGCTATGTTTTCAAAGAGCTATTTCTGCACGCTGTTAAACCACATCTTTCTTCTCTCTCTTTTTTTTTTTTTTTAATAAGAAGAACACAGCTAATTTTCACATCAAGAGCTTTGTTACCCATAACATTGTTGCACCCATCTCCAGCTTTCTGAAGCTGTTCACATGCCTGTTTTTTTATAAGGTAATTGCTTCCATACAAAAACAAGTATAAAGTAACATATTATAGTTATGAGAGAAAGGATATAAATCAATATGAAGTCCTTTAAATAAAATTCCCAAAAGGTTTTTCAAGGCCAGAATTAAGGTTTTTGAGGTGCTGGTCAGTGACCAGTTTTCCACCCATAGCATCTAAGTTTCTAGGAGATGATATAATTCCATGAAACCAAGAAAATGAACAGTTTGCATCTCCTTAGCTATTACAACTTATTCTTTTTTACTGGTGTAGCAAGTAGCTAGTATTTCAGACTGTCTTTATCTACCAATTAGTCTGCTGAGCAAAAAGAATGAGCCTTGATAAGGGTTATCTAATGGCATTAAGAATTGTCTATCAGATAAAAACTTGACTGCAGGAGAAATGGAGTGGGAGAAATCATGGAACAGATGCATAAATTAGCAACAGCTGAGACATAAAATATAATAAAACACAGACTTGGAGGCGTTAAGAGATGGAAAAGACCTATGAGGTCATCTAGTCCCATCTTTTGCCAACTCAAAATTGTTCCCCAGAGTGATGTGCTGAACTTCAGTTTGAAAACAAAACAAAACAAAGGCTGCCAAAAGCCGTGTCAGGCCTGTTACACTTGCTTGAGCATAGGGAAATGAAAAATCCAAGCCTATTGAAAAGGTCAAGTCATGGAAGACTTACAGTGCCAGGAAAACTTGATGGGACTCCCATCTCCTTACCAAATTCTGCAGTTCTCTGCAGAAGAAGGGATATCACAAGGATGGACTTAGCACAACTACAAGCCACAAGGGCAAGCTTTTCCTTTAAGGATGCTGTGGGAATTTAGGCTCATCTGGCAGCTATACATGGAATATTTACTCAATCTTTACAGACTCAGCCTATGTGAAAGCGCCAAGTGAATGTGTATTCCTTCTAGGCTGCAGCCTTCAGCYCAAGTTAATCTAGTCATGAAACTGCCTTCATAGTCCTTGTGATGGGGGTTTTGCTCAYTGGTTTTTGCACCTGAGTCGCCCATTTAGGTTTGCACATACCAAAGTGAGAGAGGAAAGCATGCTCCAGCTCGCCAATTTCGGAGAGAGCTTGCAAAGCAGCCGAGAAGGGGGACAAGGGTGTTTCAGGGAAGGGAACTGCAGACTGGAGACCATGGTGACCTGCAAAGGACATGCTAGTGACCAGCCACCACCGAGCACTGCACTGATAGCTGTGCGTCTCAGGAGACTGCCTAGAAACAGAGAAATGTTTGTTTCCATAGTGGAAACAGAACCTTAGAGGAGGCCAGGATTATCTTTGGCAGTGGAGACATGGGAAAATRAAAGGCAGCTGACAAGGATGCGGAGAAGATGGTATGGGACAAGAGTCTGGGGATAACGGGGTGACAAAGGGACACGAGTGATAGCTAAGAAAAAAACTGGAAGTGGGTCAAATGCAGTTTTGACCCACTGCATTTATATACAAGCACAGGCTTGAATATTTCAGCCCAAGCGGAAATTGCTAGAGAAGTTCCTCTCATCTCCCACCAAGGACAGGAAGAGCAGATGGAAAGCCTGGAAGGGCACAGAAAAGCTTGGACACCAAAAGGGAGATCAGATCAGTATGATGGAAAAAGAAAAATCACATCAACCTTTTCATCTGAAAAACAGGAAGGTTTTTCTTTGTCTGAAGGACTCAACTCACAAATGCTCTTCAGAGTCCACAGGAGCATGTGTGGGTTTTTTTTTTTCTCTTTCTTTTAATCCTAGCAAGTCACAAGTTTGTTTGTTTAAAGATTTTAGTCTTATGTGCTCAGGAAGTAAGATTTAAAATTCACCAATATTGTGGCTTACACACCATTCATATCCAAACTGTGAGGCTTAACCATAGCTGAGAGTTTGAGATGCTATTTAGATAGATGCTATTTTAGAAAACACTAAAAAAAAAAAATCAAAAAGTGTTCGACTGCAGGTGATTTATGTTTAACGTTACCAAAATGCCCTGAGAGACGACATGCCGTCAGCACTGTACAAGGTGGTCTACTACAATGTGATCTACTACACCTATGATGCATTTGTCAACCTTGAAGATCCAGGCGCAAAGCAAGAAGGCAGCGTATGCTAACGCAGGCCTTCCTCCAGACACTGAAAACCAAGCATATTTWWAAAAAAAAAGGAAAAAAAAGTCTGTTTTTCTTTCATTTTTCTACAATTATTGTAATTGGCCTCGGAAGCTGCTCCAGGGCAATGCAAATCCATGTGCTTACCGTGGTTGGAGTGTCTCACGCAGTCACCGAGCACCGCACTGAACTGCTTCTGCGCCTCGGGCTCCGGGAAGCAGTAGTAGCTGTGCCTGAAGTAGGGCTGCCACAGGTACACAGGGAACTCCTTCGGCAGCTGCACAAAGGCCTGGGCACCCTCCTTCTCATTACAACCTATGCAAAACACAGATATCCCAATTTAAAACCTACTGATGTCTCAGGATTTTCATGATGCACAATGGCTCTGGTCCTCTACTAGTGATAGCAGAGAAGGAACAGTTAAAACAGTAATTTTTTGCAAGCAGGAAAGTATGACACGTGAAAAAAATCAGGTTTTAAATTCAGACTTGTCTACCTTGATCCAAATAATTGACCTCTGAGGTAAGGATGCAGCCTGGTACATCTTGGACCTGCACCAGGCACCAAGCACCTCACTGTATTACACAACTTGGTGTGCTCTTATTTTGTATTCAAGGTAGGTATGAAATACACACTTTTAGAAAAACTGTCCAAGAAACTACTGTCTGGACAAAGTTTACAGCTGCCAAGAATCAAAATTCATGTTGCATTTTATCTGTGGGAGAACAAAGAACTCATACTTTTGTGAGACTTGCTGGGGAGCAAGATTTCATGGAAAATAATTAACTTGGGGCAACTTGGGTTTCATCCACAGAACGTGTAGAAAAGTTGCATTAAACCTCACAGGAATAGCAGCTATTTCCAGAACTCGTTAGCTTTCAAACAGAACAACTGCAATGTTACCTTTCGAGCTGACATTTCAAGTCCTTGAAGGTAAAGCAAATAAAGAGCAGGGACCTTCAAGTCCAATTTGCCTTGGAGTTTGAATTTGGTCTCTGTGGCCACAAGCTACTGTACAAGACCATTTACAGATCGAGATAAATGTAATTTTGTTTCATACTTTGCATCAAGATTCCAGCCACAAGAAGCCCCTCCTGGAAGTTTTGGAAGCATTGAGCAAATGCTTCAGCACTTTAAAAGAGACAAAATGGCAGTTCTGAATTTTTCAGATTTTATACTGGATCCTGTGCAGATCCAATTCCTTAAACCTAGAATTTTCAGTTTTCATGCATTGGAGGTGAGGACAGGAGGAATCACAGCAGTTCCAGTTACAGAAAAAACAAAATCAGGAACATTTCCTGCCCTCTCTGTAGAATATACTGTCAAGCGTCAATCAACACAACCAACTGACTTCCAAAAATGGAAACAAATAATCCAGGAATATTTTCAGAGCACTGGAAAACAGCACARCGGGCTCAGGCAGGCTTCTGGATTTGCTCTGCAGAGCCTCCAAAGTGTCTGTGCTTGGATACTGGAAACACAGGATCCAGTATTTTTCTGAATGTTAGCTTACGGTATCTACATTCATTCTGGAAATGCAGCTTGAGTCAGAAAACATGCTGCAGGCATCTTCTATTACGTTGTTTAAAAATCTGGCCTCAAAATCAGTCAAAAGAAGACTGTGTAAAGAAAACAGCTTGAGGTTTGGCAATTCAACTTTTACCAGTGCTTACCAACAGGATCTGGAAAATGTTTATCAGACAGCAAATTGTAATCTTCTTCTGAAGTTAGTACTTTGCCTCCTGCAGGAAGAATATGATACTTAGGGCTGACTCCTTTCTGGTAGGCCTGGAAAATCAAGATAGAGTGAGTCAAAATAAAGACTGAAGGGGAGCAAAAGCATAAAATAGACAATTCATTTACAAAGCTAATGCATATGGATATTCCTCAAAGGAAAAAAATTCTCTCAGACTGAATTTCAGATGCATTCCCTGGCCATATCAAATCTGAAACCTTTTAACATGTTAAAAGCATATTTAAAAATACTCTCTTGTTGTGTTTGCCAGCCATGGTGAGGAGCTGGGGAAACAAGGAGCAGGGAGAAGTATGGGATTTTCTTCTAAGCCACATTTGTTTGATTTGAAGACAAGTTTGACTACCAGCACCACAGCCGCTGCCCAACAAAAAGCTTCACAGCAGTCAGCTCAAAGCAACAGAAAACCTGCTACTCTAAATCCAGCTCCAGAAGTACAGTGACATATTACAATGGCATACTAATGTTTAAGAAGTGTTCTGCAATATGCAAAGACAAGTTCAAAGTGCTGTTAGAATSATCTGGTAATTCTTGCAAATGCATCTGGCCAAGGAAAAGCGCTTTGCTTCTCCCGCAGACATCCAGCCGCAGCCTCCACCCTGTCGGGCAAGGCTGCAACCGAGCGCCTGGGGACAGCATTTGCAGTCAACTCCTAAAAAGAAAGTGCAGCAGCAGCCACACAGCAAACTGGTACTGGTTCACTGGCAAGCACAGAAGAATGTAAGAGGAAAAAGCATTTACCTCTTTGGTCTCAAAGCAATCCACAGTATAGTCACTCTGGATAACAACATATCTGTCCTTCCACTTCTTCAGCTCCTCGACAAAATGAAGCACCTCTGTTTCATACAAGACCGTCCCAGCTTCCACTGGGGGCTGGAAAGACAAATTACTAGATTTGAAATTACTTTGGAGTGATGGCCACTGCACAGCTTTTCTTTCTGTGTTTCCTTTAACATTGCTAGGAGGCCCTTGTGTCTTCACCTGCATTTGGAGTAATAAACATTGCATGGAATCAGATACTATATATGCAATCAAATTCTTGCAGCTGCCGGTGCTCAGGTAGTTGGGAACCTCAGCCTTTCCAAACCACCTCTCCATTTCTGTGACTGAGCCATTCTTCTTTACTATTCAGGTGACAAGCTGATTGCAAGCAAGAGGATGCATAACTCATTTCCAATTTTCCACTACATGCTAAAAAGCAATATTTTGATGGAGCAAAGAATTTTATTACAAAAATTATTTCTTGTTTCTTTGTAACGCTTCGGCACCTGTGGTCTTTTAAATGACATGGACGTTATTTTTCTGAATGACCATTATCCCACTTCCTATATGCCACATCTTTGTTTTACTTCTCCATTTTGAGAACTATCTGTGATTTCATACCAATGTAACTCAAAAGTTATTTTTTGTACCTCTTCTGATATTAAAGTCTATGTCTCCAGATTCTCCTTTAATAAAGAGACTTTTGTTTCTCTTTTTGTCTSTTTTCCTCTAACAAAGAGCGGATTTCCATAGTTCATTCACACTGTTATCACATTCCTTACAGGACTCTGGGGGATCCTTYGGGGAGAAAAGGGTTCGCTGAAGTTCCCACATAAATGGATGATCTCTGGCCTAAGATTCTTATAAAATCTTGTGGTGATCAGGAAGAAACAAGTTTCTATCCGAGTCAAAGCTAACCTCGCTGAAAGGCACACTTTGTGTCAGAAATCTGTGCAAAGGTTCTTTTTGACCTAGACTGCCCTCTCGAAAGACAGAGACTGTAGMAGCAGTATTTTTTTTTTTCTGAAGTAAACCTTAAAGCTGCACCCACAACTTGTCAACCTAAAACCTAATGAGACCAAATCTGACATCCGCATGTACTAACCTAGTGTACATGCTTGGATTGTCTAGGAAAAAAAAAGTATATATGCAAAATGCTCTATGTATACATTTACTGTGTATCAAGCATCCAATGTAAGACTGTTTGAATAGCTAATAAATGGCAATCATTTCTGAATAATTCTGTACTGTGTTTTTATTTACACAAATGTTCAAATCACTTTTAGAAATGCTGTGTTTGACTTTCAGAAGCTTTGAGTAACTGTCACTCCTATTAACTTTATGGCAAGGATGCACTATGTCTGCGGAAGAAAAAAAGAAGAACTAAACAAAGCCCTGCGCTGGCMGCAAATATTCTTCTAGATCATGTTCCTCACGCACTGTAGTAAAAATGTAATTTCAGATCTTAACGCATTGACTATTTCATGGGGCAGCAGGGCTGCTGTGCTGGGAGAGCAGAGCATGGGGCAGCATCAGCCAGGGCAGCGCATTCTTACCTTGGTTTTCAGGAACTGGGACTGGGAGTCCCGGTGCTGCTCCAGCTCATTCTGCACGTGTTTGCAGAAAGCCACCGCGTACTGGCGTCTGTAGTGCGGACTGAAGTTCTTTATCACGGCCTCCGTTCTCCCTGAGGTGGAAAAAGGAGGCTTAACTAACACATATCGATACAGAAATGAAAGTGCAGKATCAAGTCGCTGCCGACTCAAATATTGCACCAAAGCTGCTCCCTGCAAAAGCAGCCAGAAAATCCTCAGCTGCCCATGCATGGGGCGGTGGGTGGCACAAGCACCTGGGCCCCAGTGGGATATTTTGCTTTCAATGACAGTCTAAGTCATCACTGTTTCACTATTTTATTCAGTCAACTGAATAATTTTATTTTTATTTTATTCAGCCGACTGCAGTTGTGAGCATTGCTGTGGAGGAGATATGGGAAACCCTGGGTTTGGGCTGAACAGTTTCTTTCTGTCAGTGACAAAGGAGAGCAAAACATGCCCCAAATCCCTTTCTYGAAGCAGAGATCGTATCTTCGGCTCCCTGTGTCCTGCCGCCGCTGAGCAGCGGGTGCCCTGGAGGAGATAAGGTCTTCAAACAAACACGTACACAAATGATACTGGAGAATGTTTAGACCTATGTTTAGGCCTATTAGCCAATTTTAGCACACAATCTGATTTTAACTATGACTCAAAGCTCCCACAAAGGACAGTTTCTAGACTTCAGCACTGCAGCCTCTCATTTGTTTTCATGTAAACAGCTACTCAGCCACGCTGCATGAAATACAGCTACGATGAAGATGCCACTGGTAGCACAGCTCCAACCTACAGGCTCCTTTCTGGGAATCTTAAAGAAAGATCTCACTCACTATCCCTAGGAAAGAAACGAGACACTGCTTTGCAGACAGGGAAGCCAAGCTAAAAGCTAAAGGAGCAGTGTACAAAGATGCTGGCCCCCAGCAGGGCGGGATTGCGAAGGGGCCATCCTGAGCCCGGAGCCGCTCCGGCAGGAGCTTACGGAGCTGTTACCCAGGCTGGCAGCAATGCACAAGAAACAGACATTCCCGAGGACTTAGGTCCCTTTCCAGATGCACAACCTTTTTGCAGGCAGATTAGACAGACTTGTGAGGCACAGGAACCAGGCGACTGTGGGGACGTCAACCCTCTGCACTTCAAGGGATCGGATGACTGGAGACCTCCCGATTACAGGGTGCGCTTGCATCTAATAGCAGGATAGCAGTGCTGCCAGGCTGGAAAATCCCTGCCTGCCTCACATTCTTTTAAAATCTAGCCTGCTTTGGGCTAGTTTAGCCTCCAAATAAGGCAAAGCTTCCCCAAAACTCCTATATCATGGGCTTTTTTTCTTTTTTTTTTTTTAAATCTGCAAGCGGAGAGCCCTGGCCAGCAGGAGGAGAGGAGCTTCCAGCACAGGCAAGGGCCAACTTTGGTCTCCTTCCCACCACAGCTTTTCCTTTCCCAGTTCCAGTGGTCTCAATCTCTAACAGAGGGATCTGAGACTCTGGACTCAATGTCAATTAAGTGGGAGCTGATCCTCAGACCAAGAGGAAGGTGAGGCACTAATGGGAAGAGAAGCGGACACGATTCACCATTTCCTATACTCGCTCTTTTGGTTTGCAGAAGCTCAGACTGCACCAGCTGAAAATAAGCATGACGGAAACGGCGGCGAGCGCTGGAAATGCTTCCCACAGAATGATAACACAGGCAAAGGAAAGATAAAATACTTGAGAAAATGAGTTCTCCTAATTCTTTTCCAAATTTAGTGTGGCTTGCTTAGTCCATGCTGTTCATACGGAGCAAAGCCAACTTTTCCCCTCAGTTGGGCTGGCAAGAGTGCTAGCTCCGTGTTTACACCAGCAGAACATGAAATGAGATCATCTCTAGGAGCAGCCTGCACGAAATTGTGCTTACAAACAGGAACAAAGTGACAGCAACGGTGGGTTCAAGGATTTCTGTCAAAGTAACAGGCAGGGGTCCACAGGGACAGATGTTCTCCCTTTGCCTGGAGTTCAGCTCTTGCCACAGAATAAATTCACACTCCATGATGTACCTCCTATTTTGCAGAGCAGCGCTCGCATTAGACCACAAACATTTAACACAAGTTAGGATATATCTTTCAAGAACAGAAGCAAATGTCATTCCACTTGGAAACAAGGAACCAATAGCCTCCCTGGGAAAAGGGAAAACGCATCATTTTCCCCAGACTTGTTTATCCCCAATTCTAAATGTTCCCTCTTTGAATGTGCTCTTTAGCTTTTATAACATGGAGCTTCTTGGAGTCAATGGAAGAGATTAAAAAAAAAAAGTAATTTCCAAAAGTCCATTAATCCAAATCCCTCCTCCTCTTCCATTGAGGAGGATAAATACTTGCAAGTAATTGGGGTCCCCAGCACAGCAGAGGCCAACACCAAGGCAAAGTATGTGCTCAAACACCTGGCTTTATTTTGTTTTTTGTTGCTTTTATTAAAATGGGCAGGTTGCATCCAACTTTTAAAGAATTTAGTTATCAGCCAAAACTTACTACATAAAAAGAGATGACAGATCTCTGCTTTTGGTGAAATCCTGCGGCCACAGCTTCATTTGCACTTGRGAAAGCCAAGACTTTTCTCCTGCAACCATCCTGCTTCCCCAGAAGGTTTTGAGCACCAAAACACAGAACCACTCAGGCGACCAGCGGAACATGCAGGTCACACACACTCTCTCATGCAAAAAATAAACAGATTTCTTAGCTATTTAGTTGGTTACAGCAATGGGTGGAGAATTTGTGCTCCACCAAAAGTTAAGTCGTTCTCCTAGGGTGAGCTCCGCAAACAAGTTTTCAGGTTCATGCCAACTCAAGCCACAGCAGAAGCAAAGCCAAAAGCAACAGCTTCTCTTCCAGTCTTGTAAGTCTCCCTTTCTACAATTTATTTCAGCATTCTACAATTTACTTGCGTGTTTAGCTAATTTTTATGCTGAGCTGCACATGATTAYGACCACAATTGGAATAAGTTTCTATACCTATGTTATTTTCACCATAAGCAAGTGATTTGCAGGGCACATCCTCATTAGGAAACATGCAGTTCCCCAGATCCCCCTCGCCCCTGCATGGCCAGCTTACCTGCCATCAGAACGCCAGGGCTGGGGGCTCAGGAAAACCACTGGCACAAGTTGAATTTAACCTTAAAATGTGTGAATTGCAGCCTGTGAAGTCTATGCTTGGGGCTGATAGGGAGAAACGAGTCCAGCACGAGCTAAGGGTGCGATTAACGCCACAGCAGGAAAGTTGAAGTTTATGCTTTGCTGGTAAAAGCAACAAGTCTGTTGAAAATAATTCCTCAGGGTGAAATTCAAGGAGAAAAAGGCCCAATAATTCTTTATTTATAGGCTTATTTCACAGCATCAGCAAAACTGAGCATTTAATCAAGCAAATAAAGCCAAGATAGCTCCAGTGGGCCATGAGAAGTTAAAACAGGCTCCATATTAAGTTAATTTGGGGAAGGTTAGTGTTTTTCAGCTTTTTTGAATTCTTCACCATCAGTTCTGTGTGAGTTACCTTAAATGTAAATAGACATCTCGGAGCACTAGTTTTTGCATTAACGCATACTTCGTAACTCCATAAACTTCATAAGCACTGTAGCAGAAGGCCTTTAGCTTACAGCAGTATTTTACTCTTTTGGCTCCCATACACATTGAAAATGAGTAAACGTCACAATACTTCAGCTCAGGAAAACATTTAAGCCTTAGAGGTCTTCCTTGCCCTCAGGAGCCTCCAGACTAAGCAAATGCATGGATTTTAAGCTGAGTTTTCTCAGCTGGTGCACAGCCCCAAGAGGAGCAAGGGCCRATGCAGCCTACATTGCTGCCGCTCCTTCCCCTTTCCAGGCTCCGAGCTTGCAAAAGCATTTTGGTTGTGACATCCCAGGCAACCCAGGCTCTTGCAATCTTTTGACACCACATTTCTTTCCTAMATATCTTTATAATTGAGCCTCTGCTATAGCATGCAAGGAAGTTGATTTACCTTAAAACCATAGTGATGGCTGTGCTACAAACCAGCTAGTGCCTGCAATCAAGACTGTAAAAGGTCCTAGCTTACTCTTTATGGTTGTAGGCTAAGGGAAGAAAAGGAGGGAAAGAAAAAAGAAACCTGAAAAACTCTCATCAGAAAGAATTTGATGTGAAGATATGGAAGGATAAATATAAAGTGCRGCTTACAGGTCCCTCCTGTGCAAATGCTGGTGTAGAAGAGCCCATTACTTTTTGTCCCAACCAACAGTTGAATGCCATTTGTTTTCTTCYTCAAACTCCTATTTTTAGCTGTAATTGCAGGAAAGCCCTGGATTGCGACAGTTCCACCGAACACAGTGACAGTGTGAAACACAGGTCCCCTGAGACCAGGCCCAAAGGTCTTTCCCTTTTCCCCACAGTGGCTTCCACCCAACCCTTACTTGCGTGCGGAGGGCATCAGCTCAAGGGAGCTGCCGCGGAGCTGCCTGCCGAGCATCAGCTACTGCGTGCTCCTCTTCAGCCAGCACGTGCTCCGCTCTCCCACGTGTCTGGGAGAGCAGTGCTGAGCAGACCACAGGCTAGAGTTTGGKATGGTCTCCTTCCTTTCTGGAAAGGCTCGGAGAGCAGAAGATAGAGTCGGCTGCTGCATCTTTTAAGAAATATGTGTTTGGGTCTGCCAGGCAGCTCTACCATCTCAGTATTTCAATGCTGCATCCTCTCCAGTTGCCTCATTTCCTCCCCATTTACCTACTGTGTTCAAACAGTCTTGGGACAACACGGGGTGTCTCGAAGGAAACGGCCAGGCCTGCGGCGAGCGCGCCTGCTTCTCGCACAGCATTCACAGAGCWGCGCCACCCGCGAACCGGCCGCCGCGGAGCAACCTGGGGCTCAGCCCCCTCAGCRGCTCCCCCAGGGCATCGGCCACCTCCACATTTGTAAAATATTTTATTTGGAGGGCTGAGAAAAACACAGCCCCAAGAGTGCAACTTGCAAAAGCTGATAAGAGCAGAAAAACAGTATTTTTATAGTATAATATGCTTTCTGTGTAATAGGACAAGCCTGGCAGATCTACGTACATCAGATTAAATTTTAATTTTCTGATGACAAAAGCAATCCTTAGCAATGCTATTTT